GATATTCATTTGGAATTGGGCGGCACTGTTGGTATTCCTGGTATCTCCCCCAACCCTGTATGGTGAACGAGGCTCATACAACTCCAGCCAGCAGTATATCTTGCGTTGACGGTCATTTATAATGTGTACCTCCACCCCTTGCGCAAGTTTCCTGGGCCCTTCTGGTGGAAGGCAACGCGAATTCCATGGGCATGGCATTCTTTCCACGGTAACTTAACCAGTCGCCTATGCGAACTTCAGCGAGAGTATCGAGATGTCGTTCGAGTCTGTCCCGATGAGCTCCACTTCTTCACTAGTCAAGCTGTAAGTTCTCCGATGCAACGGCCATCACTACTCAAGAGTCAGATCTGGACTGATCTCGCAAAGTGGAATGGTAAGTCTGGGGCATCTCATGTGGTCACCGAGGATCAGCCCTACTGACTACAGCAGATATATATGGGCGCCAGGCACCGAACGGGAATGGCAACCTGAAAAAATTCATGGGAAAGAGAAGGACAGAGATCAATGGAACGCCCAGCATCGTAGATCATTCTGCATCCTTTCCCCATGTCACTCAAGGACTGATGAGATGATAGTTGACGGCAGTTGACGACCAAGACCATCGGCGGCGTATGTATCCTCACCACACTTATGGCTTTGGTACATGCGAAACACCACACACTAATACTCGAACAGTGAAACGTCTGTTATCCCATGCATTCTCGGAAAAGGCTCTCACCGCCCAAGTCCCGCTTATCAACTCGTACGTTGACAAGCTTATCAACAATCTCCGCCGCAAAGCCAATGAGAGTGGTGGCTCTACGACTCTAGACATCGTGAAGTGGTATAACTACACCACCTTTGATATCTTGGGCGAGCTGGCCTTCGGCGAGCCGTTCGGATGCTTCGAGGACGACGCCCTACATCCATGGATCAAGACCTTGTTCACGTCCGTCAAGGACGGCTGGTTCGTCACAATTGCTAATTCGTTTCCCCAACCGATACGAAGCCTCATGCAGAGAATGGCACCCAAGGGCGAACTTGATGCTCAAACGGAGGAGTATACGTTCGCGACAAAAAAGGTGAAGGCGAGGATCCAAGTTCGCGAGGCAAAGAAGGTGGACTTCATGAGCTACATCCTGAAGCACAACGACGAGCGAGGTATGACCATGCCCGAGATCGAGAGCAATGCGGTACTGCTCATCTTGGCGGGCAGTGAAACGAGTACGGGTTCACATCCTCCTGTCCCTCAGTGCAGATGCTGACACTTGTGGCAGCTGCGACATTCCTCTCAGGAATCACATACTGCCTCCTCATGAACCCAACTTACTACGCAAAGCTTCGCGATATCATCCGCGATACCTTCTCCAGTGAAGCTTCGATCACCCCCCAGGTTCTCAATCAAATTGATTTCTTCACCGCATGCATCGAAGAGGCGTTCCGCATCTATCCCCCGGTTCCCCAGACTGGTCTCCCTCGCATAACAGCACCAGAGGGTTCCTTTGGTATGTTGCCATTTTTGAGAACCTGTGTTGAGGGCTAACGCGCTGCAGTTGATGGACGGTTCGTGCCCGGCAACACAATCGTCATCATTCCTCAGTTGCCGACTTACATGTCAGACGCAAACTTCACAGATCCCCAGAAGTTCGCTCCCGAACGCTGGCTTAAGGGTGACGAGTGCCCAGAGAGGTATCGAGGAGACAATCGGAAAGCCATGCAGCCATTTAGCATTGGTCCGCGAAACTGTATCGGCATGAAGTAAGACTTTCTTCGTCCCCTTTCTCCTGTCCTCCTGCTCTCCGGACAATGGCCGTAGGTTCTGACGTGCGTAGCCTTGCATATTTCGAAATACGTCTGATTTTCGCCCGGATGCTCTGGAACTTCGATTTCGAGCTCATGGAAGACAGTCGTGATTGGATGGATCAGAAGGTGAGGAGTCAAGTGGCATCAGCCTTCCAAATTCATGACTGACAGCGTGGCAGATATTTGCACTTTGGGAAAAGAAGAATTTGAATGTAAAGTTGACTCCTCGGCGAGTGTGAGATGAACGATGTTGTGCTCCGTGTCTTCGAGTCTGGTGTACAGGAGATTGAGGCGTGGTTGTGATGTTTGGGAGTGGCAGAATTGAGCGGTGAGCCTGGTGATTTCTGACGTGGACGTGATGAAGAATTTGTTTCCAAAATCGATCGTATTATTCAAATTCTAGGGAAGTAACTTTAGTTTTTGTCACAAAGATACTGAGATTTCATCCATATGCCAGTGAGATAGCTACGAGGAATCCTGACCCTTAGAAATTATTTCGTTTTGTAAGAGTTTACTCCGCATCTGTCAAGTACCTGGAGTGTTTAGCGAGCCCTGAGATCACAAAAGGTGATGATATGGAGTCAAATGGGACCAAAAGTTCTTGAAAGCAAAGAAGTTAGTCTACTGAGGTGACCAGCAGATCATTTCAAGACTTCGACTTCTTAGGTAAAGAGTACATCGAAAAAATGTCGAAGGAAGAAACTTTGGACACCTTGCTGAATAAGCGAATCCAGTGACCTGAAGCTTGATTCAGCTGCAGTATCAACTCCAATCTCAGCCCCATCTCCATGAGCAGAATCTTATAACTCCTTCATAATAATGACCGATACAACCAGGAAAGAAGTCGGCCATTGAACGCCTGGCACAGCATGGCTGAAGTGCTCGCTGCAATCGGCATTGTCGCTTCCGTGGCCCAACTAGCAGATTACGGCTTCAAGCTGTCCCTTAAACTCTACACCTTCAGCAGCACCGTCTCATCCGCCTCCACCTCCATCAAAGCCCTCTCATCGGATGTCTCACTCACCTCGACAGTTCTACAGGAGCTCTGCCTGATCATCAAATCCGATGAAGGCAGTCACGTGGTGTCAGACACTGCGATCCATGCGACAAGTCAGACGGTGAAAGAATGCCTGGCTGTATTTGAGCAGTTGAATGAGGCGCTTGATAAGAGTATGAGGGGGATGGAGGAGAGGGGTGGGAAGAGGGTGGTGGAGAAGTTGAAGTGGCCGTTCAAGCAGCCGAAAATGGATTTGTTGAGGGGTAACCTAGATAGGTTGAAGGCGAGTTTGACGTTGATGTTGCAGGTGCTGAGTTATGCTAGGGACGTTTCAAATCGGTGAGTACTATTGTATTATTTTCGCCTTTATCCTAGGAACACATTCACTGTCGGCCATCAACCCTTTTCGGAGTTCCTCTTGAATGTTCCAGATCGGATCTTCCACATCCCATCTCAATGTTTCTTCCCTGTCCTTCTCTTCCCTCTAAACCAGCAGCATATCAATGATCTGATTCTTGGAACCAGTAAAGCTGCGCACTTCTCTCTGTTATACCAAAAACAAGTCATCGAAAACCTCGCTCGTTCCGAACGAGACATGAATCGCAAATACATCAACATGCAGCGAGCACTTGAGTTCGATGCCATCGACCGCGACTTTTATTCCACAATGAACTCTTCTGTTCACAAGACAACTTTCAGTAAAACTCCGGTGGATAGCGATATCATGGCCAAGACTACCTCAGTCAATCGCTCGTTTCCCCCCGACGCGGAACCTAAATCCCTCTCGACGGAGACCATCGACACGCCGCCTCCAGTGAAGCCTCGAACCCTGATTGGAGAACTACTTCTTTGTTTTCAGCTGCTGAATGATATTCTGGGATATCACATGGCTGTATCTCAGCTCAGTGATATTGTCGCTTTGGGATATGATGACCTTCGTGGAGCGCTGTGTAGAGTTCAAGATCAAGAATTTAAGAAGTTGGAAGCGCAGCACGCATCAGCATCAGTTTATATGAAAGCTGAAGCGGCAAAGAACTTGCAGATAAGGTTGAGAGAGTTGGCGAGAGCAGGATTTCTAACAAAGAGGGAGACAGCCTTGAAGGAAGATTTGGGAGCAAGTCCTGGAAATTTTTTGGAGTCTCAACCAAGTGTAAGAATCCCCAGTACCCACTGACTCAAGTCCCTGTTTGCACGGCGCATTAACGAGAGATAGGTTACCGTGCCAGAAATGAATCATCCAGTGATGTATCACTTGTCATCGCCAGCTGAACCAGAAGAAATTGTCCCAGTAAGGTTTCCCACTTACGTTTTCCCCTCGCACTCTTTTTTTCCGACGTTTTTTCCCTACCCCACCGAAGCTTAATTCAAGAATCTCACAAGAATTACAGTACGATCCATACATGACTTACCCGATCGGTTACTCGCGCACAGAAGCTCTACAAGCCGAAATCGATAGCACTGTCGGCATCATGCGCGAAAGCATCAACAGAGTTTCTCAACGTGGAGACCGACTCGATTCGTTACAGGATAAAACTGACAACCTGGCTACCTCGGCGCAAGGATTTCGGAGGGGCGCAAATAGAGTGCGCAAGGCACAATGGCGTGTGTGAGCGCTCCTATCTTCATCTCCACTTCCATAAAAATCAATGGATCCATTCTTCAGAAGTATTTTGCGTCCAGCGTGCTGACCTTCCTCCAAATACAGTACTCCGCTATCAGCCATCGCCTGGCTTGGAATGGCAGGTGCGGAGGCTGTTCAAGGCATTGGTAGCGGAGTTGTAAAGGCTTCGAGGGGGATAGGAGAAGCTATATACAATGCTGGAGAGAATATTCTCAGTGGTTTAGAGGGTGAAGTGGAAAAGGACGAGTTTGTGGGGAGTCCCGTCAGGATTGTTGGAGGTAGGTTTGAGGATGCTGAGAGTGACGAAGACGAGAAAGGAGATGAGCACGAGAATGAGGGCATTGATTCCGAGAAACTGGTTGATGACTTGTTGGCGCAATGGACGACTTTGTCGGATAAGGAGCGCGATGTGACGAGTTCTGACGCTTGGTCCGCAGACGAAGAATGAGCAAACGAATGAATGGGTTATGAGGAGACACTCGAGTAGCTAAATTGCCTGTAAGCGACTGAATATTGGCACCCCAAAAGGATGTTAATGAAACATAACTATGAGAGTATCATATGCCCTTGACCGACAAAAAAGAGCCAAAAAAAAGTTTCTTCCGGAACGGGGAATTGAACCCCGGTCTCCTGCGCACATCTGTGAACTGTTGTTTAGACAGATCATGAGAGGCAGAAATGCTAGCCACTACACCATTCCGGATGATTGATTTGGTCGATAAAGAGTAATGTCTTATTTTATTACATCTTTGTGGGAGTAAGGTGGATTTTTTTTTTTTCAGTTGCGTAACTTACATGTAGGGTTGAGTTTAGCGAGGGGAGGTGGGTACAGAGCAGGGGTCTTGTCGGAGATTCAAGAAGTCCTACCTTCTGCGGCATGTATTTACGCTTGGAAGCAGATATGAAAACACTCAGTTGTCAATAAAGAATGACGGTCGTTTGAAGGTTGTGATTTACAATCTGGCGCTCAATGGATCACAAAACTCCTCATCTCCTCAACCCCACCACCTGGCCCTCTCATTGCCTCCCCATACATGAAACCATCTACATACGCCTCACCCACACAAACATATCCGTCTTCATCCCTCCTCCTTCGTAAAATAACGGGACACCTGCATCCAAGCAGAATACAAACTAAATCACCAACCTCCGCGCCGGCCGGAGCAAGACCTACAAGATTTCCCTGCGAGACAAACAATCTTCTTCGATTCATCGTCAGACCTGCTGAGAGTATGGCAGATAATTGGTCTTTCTCTTCCTGATCTCCATTATCAATAAACGGATCCTCTTCCTCAGAAGTAGCCAACGAGGGTGTCGACCCAGAAAGTTGAAACAAGCTTTGGCCCGATGCCGTACTAGACCTCGATGGCGGATCCAACCTCAACATATCCGATCCCTCAAGCATCTCATCCGACAGCGCGAAGATAGCATCGAGTTTCCTCACATACACATTCTCATCATCATGTTCCCAATTTCCACACGATATCGTGCGACCGAAGACAGCTTGCGAAGCAACACTGTTCGAGTGTGAACTGACGAAGATATTCCACCAGTCATGAAGCGCATTCAATTTAGGCGCTACTTCGCTCGGTGGTCGTCGAGGGTTCTGTCTATATGCCATGCCAACGCTCTCAATGGTGTCGAGAATGAAGCCTGAGGCTTTGAGCACGTAGCCGTTGGAAAGAAACTCAGCGTTTGCGAGGCTGGAGCCGGACGCTGTGAAGGGGGGTTGGTGGTGATGAAGACCAACGATCGTAGCGCCTGATTTTGGGGGTGGACGAGTCCAGTCAGGTGTCCAGGAGGGTAGAGAGTATTGGTCGGTGTCGTGCTGCTTGACGCAGATTACGTCGAGGCGGTTGGAAACGGTGATTATGTGGTGCGCGGTGTGGGTGTAGACTTCGCGCATGGAGTGCGAGTAATCTATGATACCGAAGGTATCGACTGATTCTGAGACGCCCACTAAGGCATAAACTTTGTCTTTTGGATCTGTTGACAATTTGCTTTTGTGAGATAAAAGGAGTTCGAGGAGGGGTGGTGCAGAGACGTTTGGTGAGAAGCGGGAGAGTTGCAGACCACGAGGACCGCCATGTGTGAGGGTCCATATAAAGGAAGGGCGTTTGTAGAATAAAGATTGGAGCTCCTCGCTGGCAGCTTTCAGTAGATCACAGACTTTGTCCAATTCTGTCCAGGAGATCTCGTCGTCGCCGCAGTAGACAGTTGCGTTTCGGGCACTGCTGACTTCTTGAATGACCCAGATCCGCCACCAGTACTGCCTCCGAAATAGCCTCACCAGTGCCTCGATTCTTTCTTTCCTCTCCGGATTCCCAACAAGATGTCTAACTCCGTCGACTGAAGCACAAGCATTCAAGTCACGTGCAAGCTGCATTGCAGCTTTACTCCGGTTGTTTTCCGGTCCCAGAGACACAGCAACACTCTCAGCATGCTGATAAATAGCTCGCATATTCGCCGTCTGCAGATTCCTCTCGGGGATATCTTCTTGATTGATACAAATAGCATCAACCCACATCACCAAATCCTGCTCTCCGGGCTTGGGACGCAGGCGTTGAAGTGCATGTCTGAGATTGGGGGTAATGGAAACATGTTCTTGATCGACGGCTATGAGCTGGGAGCCGCTTCGCTCGCCCCATACGTAGGAAAGTGCTATGTAGGGAGGCGCCTCTGCGAACGTGGTGTGGAAGAGGGAGCACCGGATTGGCCATGTGGAGTCTGGGGAGGGAGAGGCATGAAGTACGAGGAGCCGAAGGGCGCCGCTTTTGGTGTTATCTAAAGGTTCGTATTTGTATCTGCGGTAGCACGCTTGTGCTTTCTCGAGAGAGTTCTGGGGGGATACCGGCTTCATGTTCTCGGATGCTGAGGGTGCTGTGTTGGCGATGGAGCGGGCTAAGCGGGTGGGATGTAGACGAGCAAAAGGTAACAGACCTATGAGCACAAACTTGTAGTCGAGGATCCTGCACCATCTGATGGGCGCTTTAATACGCATTTATTGATCTTCATAAAGTCCGACGAGAACTGAGGTTGATGCCCAGCGGTCAGATTTCATTTTGACATAAGCATTACACGTGATCTCAGGGGTACCAGGACAAGGATCCATGGTTCTTGGTTCTCTCGAGGCAACTGCTTCTCGCGGCGAATTAAGGCGCCCAAGTCTGATAGGTACTGAACCATCTGCTTTCATCTGTGAGAGGAATCATGTTGAGGTGCAGCTCGTTTCCTGTCGTACAAAACCTGGCCAATTGGATACAAGTACTCCTGTGCCGTCAAATGGTGGAGCCTTAGCCTTACGACTTCTGACTTCCTCAAGCTCTCAAACGGCATTGAATGGGACGGTGTGTTCTGCTGAGAATTCTACCTTCATCCTCTCCCTTGGCCAGCATACAATCGCTTGATCAAACCATTATTTAGCTTGGCATCTACCATCGGCGTCGACTATGCATCTCCTCCACGCCAAGACGTTCAAGCTTCACAGCTTTTTCGGCAGCGATATACCATCGTATGCAATCCTGTCCCATGGATGGGGCGACTCCGAAATTACATTCCAGGAGCTAGAATGTGATCATGACGTCGAGCTTGCCAAGGCGAATGTGAAGATTGCTGGTTGCTGTACTCAGGCTGTGGCTGATGGATATGAGCATGTGGTAAATCTCAATCTGTTCCTTAAAAAAAAGTTATGAAAGAGCTGGATAACTCACACATGTTAAGTAGATCGATTCTTGCTGTATCGACAAGAGTAGCAGCGCCGAGCTATCTAAGGCGATAAACTCGATGTTTCGCTAGTATAAGGAAGCACTAATCTGCTATGTGTACATGTCAGATGTCTCTGTCAAAGCACCCGGTTCAGAAAACTACAGAAGATCATTCCGAAGGAGCGCCTGGTTCACTAGAGGCTGGACTTTACAGGAGCTCCTTGCCCCTGACATGATAGTGTTCTACGATCAAGCCTGGATCGACATTGGTACCAAAGCGACTCTGGAGAGCGAAATCAAGGCTGCTACGAAGATCACTCAATTATTCGACTTTTCAGAGGTTTGTATCGCACAGAAAATGTCTTGGGCTGCCCAAAGAAAGACGGCTCGAGTAGAAGACGAAGCTTACTGTCTGATGGGCATTTTCGGTGTTAACATGCCTATTCTACATGGCGAGGGCGCGAAAGCTTTTCTTCGACTGCAGCAAGAGATTCTTGAACAGTCTGATGATGAGTCCATTTTCGCCTGGGAGAGCGCTTGTCATCTCGACAGTAACAGCAGCGGAATGCTTGCCAGGAATGCCGCTGACTTTGGACATGCCGGTGATATAATTCGGTTACATTTGAAGGGCGCCCCGGTCTTTCCGTTTGAGATGACGAATAAGGGTTTGCGAATACGACTGCAGCTTATGCCAATAGGTGTGCCCGAATCTTCTGCAGACGTTTCTGAACTAGAGTTTCTTGCCTCACTACGCTGCCGACGACGATCGATCCCATATCCTCTTGCAATAAAGTTAAAATCACGGGCTGACAGTCCCGTAAGCTTCACGGGTTTCTTTGTCCATATTGATTGTCGATCCTGCGATTGAAAGGAGGCAACGAGATGCGACATGGTGCGGCGTTGCTGACAACCAGGCAAGACACATTTTATAGGATAAATAATGATCGCTTATTTTACAGACTCGAGTCTCCTGATGAAAGTACTCGCGTTGTCTTTGTCACCAATCCACAGCCTCCAGATCAAGTCCAATTGCGTGAGCTTCCGGCTTGTTGATTTCAAGTTTTTGTCAAGGAAATGCATGAACTTGGATATTCCTCCAAGTGGATTCGCCATTGGGACACCCCAAGTTCGCTGACAAGTCTGCGTCAAGATGTACAACTCGAAACTAAAACGTATCAAGGTGTTGCCTGGGCTGTGCTCCGCAAAGATAACTCAGGAGTGGTCCTAGGCATGACTTTTCAAAAGGGCAGGCCAGGAGTACAAATACATGCCGTAGCAGCCCTGGATAGACACATAACCTTGCCACAGCTGTCGAGCAGACCACCTATGGATAGGGCCATAATCTCACTGAACAACAAGCATGACATTGTTACGTTTGTGAAAAAGGTTACAGATAGAGGTCGCGAAAGTCTACCACAATACCGAGTGTCGATCGCTGTGATCAAGTCCGAAAACGAAGAGTTATGATTCTTTGGCGCCATGATGGCCCACATATGAACAAGAATTTGGCTGGAAGACTTCCTCACAAGCGCAGTATCCAAGGTAAGAAGATAATTCAGATTCAGTCATGTATCATGCAGTAGCTAGTTTCCTACTGACCTTCAAAAGAACCGATTTATATCCTCTCCATCCATCAGCCCCATATCCCACTCCCCGCCCATCGGCATGAATTGCGTATATCCATCTACGGCGCCAAAACCCTGCTCACCCGTCACCAGCTCCCCTACCGCCTGAAGATCCAACCACGAGAACTCGTCCTGCTGCGCAAACATATTCACTTGTTGATTCCTCGCCTGTGGAGGCACGAACCCATTCGCGTCAGGCACATTCGTCGCGCCAGGATTTGGCGTCTGCGATACGCGGGTCTGTGTCTCGGAGTCTTTGCGCTGCCAGAGTCGGTCGAGGAGTTCGGAGTAGCGGGATGTGAAGTCATTGGGGCGGACGCTGGCTTTTTGGAGGTGTCGAATTACGTCTTTGATCATGTGTCTGATGCCGAGTT